AGCCATTGACAAGTGTGTCAGTACAAGATTTTAGTTTAACCATGATGCAATTGCCCTATGTATCTCAATCAGTTTTCTTAATGATTAATAAACACATAGTACTGACCTGACCATGGGTAATTAAAAAAAAAATATTAAATATTAATTAGATTGATTATACAGTATACTGTATGTATACTATAAATCCATAATATATAAAATTTTAGATTATTGGATATTAAAAAAAAAATTAATGATTTTTTTTGTCATTTATACTTTTAATTTACAGTTATTTTTAGATATCATAGAATATCATTATATATATGGATTTAATTAAATTTAATCAATTAATATTGAGAAATTTAATTAAAAAAAAAAAAAAGGTGTTTGCAATATTTTGGTAAATATCTAAACAACCAATAAAATAGAATTTTATGAATCAATCAAATCAAATATAAATAACATACTGTGTATACGAATATGCAGCATCTGTGTAGTACGTTTAAGTACTAAGGTATAATCAAAGAAGCTTTAACATAACTTTCTAGAATATGTACATGCATTTTTTTATCTTCAAGTCTAATGTTTTCTAATATAAAATACAGTATATACAGTGATTTAAAACAAGCTGATGGATTTCTTCTATTCGCAACTTTCCGCAAGCAATCGAATAATATTTTTTTAATAAAAAAGCGAGAAATCTAATTCCTTAAAACGATAAAGATACCATAATTAACTCAATCATATTATTGTGACTAACTGTAATGAGAATTTCCACGTATCAATGTCGCGATCCTGACATCGGGAAAAATCGGTATAAATAAAAAAATAGTAATTCAAAACAAACTAAACTTATTTATTTATCTATTTACAATTGCAAACTAGTCGTTTTCGCATTCTAAAAGAGCGACCGTGGTTCATCATCTTGTATCTCGAAAACCTTTGGTGATCCCTCTTATTTAGAATATTTCTAATAATAATAATAATAATAATAACTCTCTGATTTAAATTTAATATTGGATTACAATTGAAGTGAAACAAAACCAATCTTAATATCCTTTAAATTATCCTGACATCTAACTCTCTTGATCTTTTCAGGTTCAGACTTTTGGCGATGTCAGACGACAAGATCAGTTGATCTACAACTTTATTGTATTGGTTTAACCTTATTATAGCTTCTATGTGACCATTAGTGAAAGACAAAGATCCTAATATCTCAAGTTTCAGAATTGGGGCGTTACTGTGTGCGGGCTTGAGAAAATTTTCCAAAGAAATTGAGGTGAAAGACCACCTCTTTCCGTGCAGAGCGAACTTTCTCAATGATCTAGGCAAGCCGTTTCTGCCCAATCGATCCAACATCTCATTAGTTTCATACACATTCAATGTAAACAACCCTTCTTGACAAAGAATTACAGTCTCTATCTTTCGACAAATTGCAAACATTGAAATAATTTGAGGTACTTGTCGATTATTCTCCAAGGCGATTTTAAGAAACGTCAGATTTTGAAATCTCGAAGCAATAATTCCAATTGCATCCGTACTCATAAGAGTTGCATGATTTTCATACGGCGTAGACAGTAACTTTCCTAGACGTATCTCTTTCATATTTGAAGTACATGCACCTAGAATTTTCTCTACGATCTCCGGCCATACATCTGCCTCATCCATCCTGAGGATCGAAAGATTTGGCATTGTTAAAGCAAGCTCCGGTGATTTCGGGAGATCGAATTTTTCAAAGAGACAATGTTTGAATTCCAATTTTTTCAGATTTGTCAATGGCATTAAATAATCATATAAACCGTCAAAATCTGACTCAATAAAGCACAAACTGCTCAATGAAACCGCCTGGGTACTTAAAGCCAACATTATGTTCTTTAATCCTATGGTGCATTTTTGCAGCTCCAAGTGGTGTATACCTTTCTGAGCTTTAAGTAATATAGCCAAGTATGCAGCTTCCTGTTCGAATAAACACCAAGAGGACATTCGGAGAGAAGGATCAATATCGCAATTCACCCTCACTACCAGAGATTTCAAGTTATGGCAAATTTGAGAAAGTGAGAAAAATAAAGATTTCTTGCGATGCCGGGTGGTGCAAACTAATTTGGTTAATCTTCCGAGGCAGTTGATTGAGCCAGGATAGGTCGGAAAGATGAGATATTCGTCAAGAAAAAAGATTGCGTTTCTCTGGTTGAAATCTTTATGTCGTCTAAAAGTACAACCGTATTGATTATCAAAGTTGGTGGAAGCGAATTTCGAGTCAAAAGAAATTTGTTCAATTGAACATCGGCTGCTCATGAGAATTTTGCAAATGAACAACGCCATCCTATGACAAATATTCTTGGGAAGAAAAGAATCGCATGATGATCTTGAGTCGAGGACAAAGTCATATGGAGAGTGTGGGTTGGATTTGGTAGACAGATCAGATTCAAGGTTGATGAAAAAATATAAGATTTCCAAACAGTCCTTTTTTGTCGCATGTATTTTATGCCTCGACCTGCTATCAACATTCAATCTATTTCTAGTTAATCCTCGTCTTTTGTGCGTTGGTGAATCTCGTCGACAAACATTAGCTTGATTCAAACTCGAACTTTTTTCCATTGACAGATCCTTCTGGCAAAAATCTCTATAATCTAGACACCAATCTTGAATGGTCATGTTTAATTCGTGAAAATCTAGGTTTCTTAAATACTCCACATAGTTAAATAAGGGTATCGAAGGTGAAATGGATATGATTCCTTCCTTCATTAAGTTAGCATTTTGTACGCAGGCAATTTCTTGGGGAAAATTTTTGAATATTGATAATGACGAGCAAATAAGCTCTTTTTTTAATCTGTTGTAAACGGAGGAAGATAAAGGGTAATTATTCTTACATATTTAGTGTTATGACTTAATCTGATTAGATAGTTGCACAGTCCATACCCACTTCCATTTTAGTAAACCATTAATTCACGTTAGGGATTTTTTTTTTTTGGTTTCCCCTCTGAATATGGCTTATATATATAGGGAAAAAAAATTTTTTTTTTCCATATAAAAAGGATTTTCAAATTTATCTGCGAAATTTCCCACAAGCGTTATGTCTCGTCTTTTTCAAATTCCAGAGTGTCTTCGATTAATATTTGTTCATCTCGAGAATGATCGTTCATCGCTACGCTCTTGTATTTTGGTTAACCGCTTATGGTGCATACATTGCATCGATTTTCTATGGGTGCAGCCTTTTCATCTTTTATACACTTGCAACAAAGAATCTTGCGATTGCTCTATACCGAAGCGATATTCACAAGCCAGCAATTT